CAGGGCTCCGGAGGGCCCGTCTGTGTTTAAGACATGATGGCTTCTCCTGATCAGCCTCGCCGTTACATCAAGCAGCCTGATTTTGGCGAAGGGGCGGGGGGGTCACGAGGGCAAAAAAGATGCAACAGAACCTGCAAATAGAAAGAGGGAAAAGGTGTAAGGAAGTGGAGAGATGACAAGGAAAACATGCCATCCAAAATCAATCTATTATTATTTACAAAGTTTACGATAACTATTGGTTGATCTATTTAAAAAGTAAGAAACAGCCTGGAAAATGATCTATTTTCGCCTCCTGTATGAAAATAAATCATGGTGCAACACCCAACTACCAACGATTTATCGTCACCTTTTTTAAGTTTTGTTTTAAAAACATTTTAACCTTTTATGTCCCATTAAACCATCGGACTTCGGCTTAAATGTTTCTTGGCGATCCAATCTCCTTTGATCAAAACCTAGAAAGAACTTCAAAGCTAGGACCGGACCAGCTGCTGGGCTTAGGAGGTTGTTTGTTGTGGACATTTTCCTAGATCAACACCATGACCGGTGAAGTGTGCGCTTGCTCTCCTAATCAAAGCATAACTGCAGAAAGAGAAAACAGAACACAGACGATCTTGGACAGAAGTGACGCAGAAGAGGCAGCGTTCTAATCTGCCTGTGAAATCAACAGTGACGAGGCCCAGGGCACCGGTCGCTGATGACAGCCGGCAGGAGGAAGTGAGCCGTAAACCGCTGGTACTTCTCAACTTCAATAGGGTTTTTTTTTTAATGTTTTTTTTAGGCGTTATTCAAAATAGAAGCACAAAAAACCACTAATGAAGTGCTGTGCCCACCCCCCCGACTCTGTACACACAGCATCTTAAAGTGTTGGTTCTGACAATTCTGTTCTAAGAGCCCAGAATGGACCCTTCGGCAGATTTAGGAGCAGCTGAGGCGTCATAGTTTCAATCATTAGCAGCAGCATGAGTTGCTGAGTCTGCAGGGTGTTTTAAATGAGAGAGCAGGAGGAAATTAAAACCCTCAAAGTTCTGTGCAGCCCAGTCCACATATACTGTAGACACGGTCGGGTCAGTTTGCCAAAATCCAAATTAAATGATTGGAATAACTGTTAAGATGGATGAAATGCATTCCAGAAATCAAACTGAGTTTTGTGTAACTTCTGTTTTTCATTTTTTTTTTATTTCATTTTGATTAATTCATACAGTTTTTTTTACATTTTCAAATAATATTTTTCTCTTTGTCACTTTTTAAAATTCTTTTCAAAGTTTAAATTTCCGAATTCACCCCAGTGGTGCACGACTTTACACAAGTGAATAAAGTAAATGTGATTGGTGGTTTATCAAGGGGGCGGGGTTGTTGTGGCAGAACGTTCGCAAGTACGTTTGGTTGTGGCTGGTGTCCCGGAAGCATCCTGCTAACCAGTTAGCAACTTAGCGCTAGTAGGTTCCCAATGGGCAATTCCATTGGGACCAAGTAGCACTAAATTGGTGACTTAGAAACGACACTGTCAAGGAACGCTATTGACAGAGGAAACATGCAAGAGGAGGAGAGTTTAGTGTCGGAGGTCGTGGATGAGTCTCCTCCGTCATACATTTTTTATTTAGAGGAGCAAAGCGGGGACGAA